GGGGGGGGGGGGGGGGTTTGAGGGAGGAAATGATCAAAATGGTCCCTAATGTATAAGGGTTGGACTATTTTGGTCCTTGATATACACCCCTTAACGTGGGTTGGATATTTCAGTTCCCGATTTTGTTACTTGAAGAAGTTAGAAAATAGCTAAAGAAAGATCATGTTTTCCACCTGAAAATACCCCAAAGCTGATTTGAGTTATAAATATCAGCATCCTCATCCTTTCTTGGGAACCGAAGGTTCCTCATTCCCATTTTTTGCTCATATGTTGAGCTTATCTTTTTCTTTAATTTTTTTTGTGCTCCTTTCTATGGCTCGAAAAGTATATGTACGCGTAGCTTTCATCACTATTTCCAGCTTCCTGTTTATTCTATGAAATGTGGTTTGTTCACTATTTACAATTGTCAAATGGAAGAGCACAGGAGATAAATTGCACCTACAATTGTGGGGTTTCTTGTTTTCAAAATTTTAGTTGGGATTTCCTTCACCCATTTATATTTATATTCATTTATACATGCAACAATTTATCTTTGCCAATTGATTCTTGCTATTTGTGTACACTGTGTTTCTGAAAATCACTAATGTATCATGTATGGGTGTCTAGAGGAAGAAGAAGAAAAGAAAATTCGTAAAGTGAAGAGGAGTGCAGTAGGTAAGTGAAGAAAGGAGAGAGAAATGGGTTTGTGGGCCGCACAGTCTGTCAACTACACTAATAAGAATCGACAACAAATGTATCTACACCCTTAAGTTTAACTTTTACCGTTAGTTTTAGGGCATGAGACCAAAAACATACACTTTTTACATACTTTAAGGACCATTTCCATTAAGGGGCATATATCAAGGACCAAAACAGTCCAACTCCTATACATTAAGGACTATTTTGATCATTTCCTCGGTTTTGAGGTAACAAGAAGAATGGAAAAACAAATTGGATACTTCTAAGAGAAAAATAGTGAATTTGGGATAATTTTTTTTAATTACCAAGAGATATAGGGAAGAACGAAAGACTTTATTTTTCAGTTGCAATTAAGTTTTCCTTAAGAGGAAATATAATTAATTGAATAAAAGAGGTAGTTGTGAACTATGTTTCCCCTTCATTTTGTTTTCATTTTTAATTACAAAAGAATGATAAAGATCAGTAGTAAACTTGTAGATAGGAAAACATGAGGAAGATCCGATTCATTTGTCAATTATCAGCTGCTAGTAAAACACATGAGGAAAAGTCATGGTCTTTTAGGATTTTTGTGTTTTTCTCTATTGGTTTCAATATTTAACATTTTTTTCCTTGTTTCATCAGCCATAAGTTGAGGAAAATGGTTCTTTTCTATGGGCAAAATTAGGCAGAAGGGTGATTATGTGCCTAGTAGACTAGTAACTTGTATGGTGCATCATGCATGTGCAAAAATCATTGTTTTTCTGGGGATAATATCTGGAACTTTAGTGTTCGTCTTCTCTTTATGGTGGAAGAGTTGGAGGATATTTCATTTCATTTTCTTAGTCAAATTCACGTATGAATGACTGTCTGGTTTGCATCTGATCTTTTACTACGAAAGAATGTATGAATGCACTTAATTGGAATTTGGTAAATGGTTCTTCTGTTTCAGGAGGATGAGATGGTAGAGGATATCTTGGATGAAGGTGATGTGAAGAGGAAAAGTAAGCACTTTGATGGAGAGGAGGAGCGAGTAACAAAGAAAATGAGAGTTCTGGAGGATGAGGATGAGATAGAACGAAAAGAGAAGCAGGAACAAGAGGAAGAGGAGGAGGAAGAGAAGAGGGAAGCAAAGGTAATGAAAGTTGAGGAGGAGGAGGAAGACGAGGAGGAAAAGGTGAGGGCATTATTATCATCTCCATCTTTGTCACCACCAACTGAAGTTGAAGCTGAAGTTGATTGTGCATCTTCACCTCCAAGGATGAGTCTGAATATCATGGATAATAATAATAACAGTGATGCCAGTACAAGCAGTGACATGAGGCTGGTTCCAAGTAGGATAGAGACTGGGATTCTCAGCAAAGTCCCTCCAGAATTGCTCCGTCACATCCTCAAATTCCTTTCACCAGAGGTTATTTTTGCTGTTAATTATTTTTTAGCTTTGTCCAAAGTGCTTGTCAAAATATATACATTTGAAAGCAAGAGAACAGACCCTCTGGTGCAGAGGGCTCGAGCCATTTATGGTTTCGATGTGCATTTCTGTTTTGATTTTCTGTTGTCGTAAACATTATCTGTTTTTATGTAAAATCTGGCAGGATCTTGTGGCATGTTCATTGGTCTGCAAGTTCTTAAATTTTGCTGCTTCTGATGAATCCCTGTGGCGCTGGCTGTAAGTATTCTGCACCTTGTGTCCTCTCCCTTTGTCTCCCACTTTTCCACATCTCCCCTTAAATGGGCGAGTGTTTTAAACATTCCAATCATTAGACCCTAACAGATTGAAATTGCTATCGTGAACCATAACTACCTTTGTGTTAAAAGACTGTTCATTCATTTACTTATTCATTCTCGACGAGAAGCATATTTCTGAAGCTCAATTTTTCATTTAAATTTATTGATGATGATTAATAAATTCAGGTACTGCATGCGATGGGGTCTGCTGCTCCCAACAAGAAAGCCACGAGAATGTGCTTGGAAGAAACTTTACATCCAGGTATCCTTCTGTTCAAAATGTATGATCCAATTGTCATTGAGTAAGCATTACAGCTATGTAGTGGGTTAATGTCACGTATGGTCACTAAACTTTACTAACTTATACATTAAATCACAAAACTATTCTTTGTCAAAAGATAATTTCGTGACTTTACCATTATAGTGGGTAAAGTTTAGTGACTCTATTATTATAGTGGATAAATTTTAGTTACTTTAATGTGACAAAAAATAATTCTCTGACTTTAGGTTCTTTAAAGTTCAATCCATATGTGAAATTACCCCTACATAAATTCTGGTTTACTTTTTTGATCATTAGCTATATTAAGCATATATTCGTCCCAAAAATCTATCATTGTGAGTAGTTCTAAGTTTGAGAGTAAAACTTGAAAACTTGATTTTTTTTAGAGAAAGTTTATCCTTGTTAGGCATAATATAAATAAGTAGATAAAAATGTACTCTCTCTAACCGTTTTAAGTTTTTAGCTAAATAGTCAAACACTTCACCCTATTCCTGGTTTACCAAATATTAGGCCCTCATTTGATATTGGTCACGCTCCAGATGTCCAGCCCTAGGTGTGGCTTGGTTGATGAAATGTATTGTTGTCTCCTTATATGTTTTTGGACAATCCTCACATCATGAGTTAGATTTTGGAGTTGAGTTAGAGGGAAATGCATTTTCTTTATAACAAAGCAAGCAAGAGATTCTATGTTCAGATCTCACAACCTTCAAAACAGCTAAAAAGTTTCATGTGTTTGTCCCATGAAAAAGAATTAGGTACACCCCCAGGGGTTAGTACAGTTGGCAAAGGTTGAGCGACTTGTGCTTTAGGTCACAAGTTCGAGCCTTGCACCAAGCGAACTAAATCTGGTATTTAAGTGGGGAAAGGTAGAGGGTGGGCCTGCATCGCCAAGTTTCGAAGGCTGTGGTTGGTCCAAAGGGTCGACTCCTGAAAAAAAAAGAGTTAGGTCCAAATGTAAGGAGACATGTTGAGGCATAATATAATTAAGTAGAGGAAAGTGTTAGAGAGAGCATACTTTATGTACTTTTATCAAGGTTATGAAGGGACATAGTAAAATTATATTGGAAAGTGTAAGGGGAACTGTCGTCTCATTTATGTCATCATGAATGGAAGGATATGATAAATACCGTGTACTTTGATAGTTATGATTTTATCTAATTCAGAAAAAAGGATCAATTGACGAGATACTTAAGTGAGGCATCTGGGATGTTTCTTTAATTTATTTTGCTATAGTGGGTATATATTAGCATTAAGTGTGTTTTTGATTTACTAATTTGATGTATCCTCAAACTTAAGTTAATTTGGGTCAAAGTGAATACTTTTTCAAACAGCGTGATGCAGAGGATATGATGGAGTTTGTCAGGAATACTCCTAAGGAATTTAAGGAGTATTATATCCAAATGCAGGCAGCAAAAAGAAGCCAAGCTCCTCTTCCTTCTCAGGTAACTGGAGGTCTTTTTAGAAACTTCACAATATTGCATATGAGTCTGGGCAGTTACAAATAAATTCATAATTTATATCCCTGATTTATGGCTGTAAATCGTCCAAGAGACCTTTCCCTTTATTTCCTACGTGAACAGTGCCTTCACTTTTCTTTTTTCCCAGTGAAAACAAGACATAAATAGCGAAAAAATGATCACTTAAATAAACCTTAACACCCTACATTTTGATTTCCGTCAAGTTGTATGTGGTCTTATGAATAGTTACCATATTTTTTGGCTTTAATGTACAGATAAATGATGACCGAATAATTCTTGATAAAACAGTTGCTGATCAAGTCTCTATGTGGAAGAAAAGCAAAGGTCTGGGTGATAAAGTGGTGATTGATCATTCGTGCTCTGGGGAGACGTGCAATTACTATCAAATAGGAGATGTATATGTTTGTGAGAAAACTGGACACGTCCATGGTAAGAAATGGGTTGCTTAGGTGCAGCTTAGTCGTTAGATATGTACAATGAGATTCCTGTGTATTTGACCTTGACCTACTGTCGCTTATTGGTTCTCTTTTATGTGTGCATGTGCAGTTTGTGATGACACATGTAGGGAAGTTGTACCTGATCCTACAAATGGTCTTCTGGTGTGTACCATTTCAGGCCACTGTTTTGAAAGGATGTTGTCACCTTCCGAAATGGAACAAGACGGGGTAAGAAACAAGTAAACTTGTAGTGCCATTTCTGAAAGAACCGAAGTTTATGAGCGAAGCAAGATTCCTTGTTCCATGTAGAAAAGGTGAAAATAGAAACAGTTTGTTGCCTATTCTAATGCAACTTGGAACTGCAGCAAAATAAAAGATAAACTTCAAAGCATATATTTACTGTGGTTTTGGAACTTCTTGCACTGGTAAAATATTCGCTGCATTTTCCGCAAAATCAGCAGTTGTAATGCACCAAAGCTTACTTGTTTGGTGGTTGTGGTGGATAAAGTACACAGTTCATATATGGAATTACGTTTATCTTTACTAAAAATTTAAAGCTGTTGCACCGACGTTAACATACTAGAATACAACAGCTATGCAGGATGGAATGAGAAGTAGGTCAACTGTCTCCTTGACTGTAAAACCTAGTCTTATTAGGGTCTTTAGGCTATGATTCCGGTTGGATTATTATCTCCAGAACGTGAGTAGGCACCTTTCGTCTTATTGTGGGGTGTAATTTCTCTCATGCATATCTTTGTGATGTTTTGGGCTATGCAAAGCTTGTTCATGGCTGATTTTGATTTTAGAATGTGTAATGCATCTTGCAGTAGATTTTTGGTTACTATATCTTCTATTTGCACCTTGTGCTTATTCTGTTGTAAATACATCCTTGAGACTAGCATCTCCTCTCTGTGATAATATGACTGGTACAAGTACTGTAAAGATGCTAAAAGTAGAATGTTGTACTTATCTTATTTATAGTATAACATTAGCTAATTTTACGTTTATAATAGGAGCAGCAACAAGGTGGCACTACAGATGAAGCGGAGCCATTCATGGGATCGGGTCGTTTTGGTATATACCGTTGTATCAATTTTTCCTTTTGGCTGCTCATCTCCTTTTATTCATCTTTTTTCTCCTTTTTTCTGTTTCAGCTCGAGCTTATTTATTGGGATACAACTGTGATGACGAGAAGGAACTAGAAGCTGCTTTGCGTTTTTGCTGATTCCACTGCTCCTGTGTATAGCTAAAGCTTTTGGCTCTAGTGATGACATTCTAGCAGTTTAGTTTAAATCTTGTAATTGTAGATCGCTAAATTAAGTATTACCAAGTTTTGTTTTTCACTTAAAATTTCTAATAAGCTACTCTCTTATCATTAAATAAATACCCAATATGGGTCTCCCGTTACTCATGCCCTTCAGTTTTCTCTAATCACCTGGAGAAAGATCCAGTTTGCCTTTAGTCCACAGGTTGAGGGGAAAAATCGTTACTTGATGTTACCAACCGCAGTAAAGAAGGAAAATAGTAGTGGTGCATGAAGGCATCCACTATGAAAAAAGTATTGAACCTCCATACGACTTACTAGACAACAAATTAAGATTGACATTTAATATTATAACAGACGATCAATTCATTCAAAGGTATCCAAAGTCCATTCCATCACGTAAAGTGGCTACTTTCAAAACTTAAAGCCACATGCATTTATGGGTAAACTTGCGTGAGAATCACAAATGTTGAGTGCGCGAGTATTATAAAAAAAAGCTGACATGGACTATTCCAACGGTAATAAACCAAATCCCAAGTTATTTTAACCCCTTTCTCCATTGTTCTCTTCTCCCAAGCCCTAAATTTTCACCATTTCAACTGAGCTAAATTCTTCATCATAGTGAAAATCGGAGCTTTTTTTTTTTTTCTCAATTTGAAAGAACTCCATCCTCCTTAGTCAAATTCTTTCCGTAATCTTTCCTGCTATCTTCTCTTAATTTCGGGTTGAACAATGTCCCAAAACACCGAAAAGGTTAACTCTTGTTGATGTGGTCATCCGTGTAAACTAAAAATTTCATGGAGTCCAGCTAACCCAGGAAGAAGGTACTTTGTATGCAAAATCGGTAAAGTAATTGTATTCTGCCAAAAACTTTGTATGCTACAATTTTGTTATAACTCTTTTATACGAATTTATTTGCAATTGATTTATATCCATTCATTATTTTTTATTGTTTGAAGGACAATGGTGAATGTAAATATTTTAGATGGTTTGAGGACGAGTTTCCTGAGCAAGAGAATAGAGTTATTTGGGGTTTGTTGAAGAGAGTGAAGGCCTTTGATCAAGAAAGAGAACGAGCAAAAAAATGGAGGAACGCACTAGTGTTTGTTGTCTACTGATGGCCTTAATCATTTGGCTTTATTGTGGTTCTTGCTCTTGTTGATGGGAACTGTTCTATTCGGCTTTGGTCTTTTATGAACTTTTGGGAAAATTATTTGTAATTTAGGCTAGCTAATGTAGTTAGTGTCTTGTGTTGCTTCTGTTTTGTTTATTGTTGCTGCACTTCGGATGGTTGGGATCCTATTTTGTGCAATTGATATTGTCTTATTAATGCAATGTATCTTTGTTTTTATTAAAAAAAATTGCAATTCTTTAGTGTTTACTGTTGTTATACTCGTATGTGAATATTGCCTTATTAATTGAATGTATCAGCTGTTTTTGTTCTAAAATGGTGCAAATCAAAAGCTAGTTCATTGTTGCCTTATGAATGAGATGGAATGTGGTTCTTACCAAAGGATGAAAACAAGTGCGGCAAATTACATTGAACCAAAAGTAAGTTTAGACACAAAGAAGTGTTGCATATTACATAATCCAGCTCCAAAAGATGAAATTAAGTGTATCAAGCTATATTGAACAAAAAAGCCAATTTTAATAAAAACAGGTGCTGCATATTACATAATCTTGACTGATCACTAATTTTTTTTTGACTACTTTATCCATAATCACTTATGTTGAAGACTGAGATGATGCTAGTGGTCCAACTTAGTTTCTTCTACTTGCACTCATTTGCTGCAGTTGTGAAGTAGTAATAGCATCTTCCCCATTCCATCTAAGTGCTGGAAGCCTAATTCCATCATCCAGATTCACATCGGTGGTACTCCTTACTCTAGTCCCATGGTTGACAACCCTCTGACTTGAAGTACCGGGCTGCAATTGTCAAAAATCAGAAAAATAAGTAAAAAAAATTAAAACTAACTAGAATTGAAATGTGCAAGATTCTTACATTAAGGACTATCCTTCTAGTTTTTGTGTTAGTGTAGCATCCAAAGCCAATAGTTCTTGGCCTTTTTTTTCCAAAAGTAGCAGATGATTTTGCAGTTGCAGGTCCACTTTCCTTTCCCCTTTTCACACCAGATGAAGATCCTCTTGCTGCCCTTGGTTGTGTAGCTTTTCCCCTAGGAGCAGTCCGAGGAAGTGAATCTGGAAATACACCTTTTGTAGGTCTAATAATTGCACTAGGTGCTTTTTCTCTTCCTCTGCTCCTTCCTCTATTATTTGCACCAATTGTTGGCCTTGTAACAACTGTTGTTGTTTCATCACAGATGAAACTCCTTTGAGTTGGTTCACTTGATTGACTTCTATGCGGTTCTTGTCTACTTGAAGACTCTCCAGGTACATTCTAAAATAAATACATACATACAATTAATTTTAGCTGAAATGATTAATATAGAGTTAGAGAAAAATATATCATACCCTTTATGTACATGCTTTTTTTTTTGGTTATGGCCTACTTGATGATATTATAAACATGTGATCTTCACTCTTTTTTTTTTGGACAACTTACCCCATTTCTTTTTAGGTTCATTCCTGTCTTTCTATTTTTGGGGGGTTTGCTTGGAATTGGCTTTGAGGCTGGTGGTTTAATGGTAGGATTATTACTCTCAGCCTCATGACACATCTTCAAGTTAGAAATTGGATGAATGAAGTGTTCATAAGCCTTGAGAAATATTTCCTTTCTGTACCAATCCTCCACATATTGATCTAGATCATCTTGTAGGTAATAGTATGCACACACAACATGTTCACATGGATGCCTCTCAACCTCCAAAGTCTACAACTGAAAGTCTTCATCCTAGTATCAATTATAAACCTCAAATCTCCTTTTTGATTTCAAATCTATCCTGCCCATTCCATATAACTGTGCAATGTTTAGCCAACTCCTTGTTTCTCCATATAACAATCTTTATCATATCAACCTGTCTAGACATGATCTTATGCCTAATTTCCTCTAACATGGTAACAATACTTTTGTGCCTAGCAGTCAATATCCATGAGTTAAATGCCTCACACATATTATTCTCTACTATGTCACTCCTGGAATGTTCTTGGAAGAACGCTCTACACCATGTCTCTCTTAGGTACTTCATCATGTATTTGAGCCAAGTTTCCTCTTGTTTGCAACTTTATTGTTGTACTTAAACAGATAGCTGGCCTTTGCAACTCTCCAGAATTGTTTCCTCCTTTCTTCTCCCTTCCATTTCTTAGACCAGTTAGACCATATGTGCCTTGCACATATTCTTTGTTCTGCCATAGGTAATAAATCCTGAACTGATACCAAAAGCCCCTGCAAAATAATATATACAACATTAGAAATTGAACTAAACTCTAGAATACCAACAACTAACAAATAGAAATAAATTATTTACCTTTTGCATATATGAACTGTTAAGCCTTCACCTTCACCTAGTTGCACATCTTCTATCAAGTGACTGATGAACCAACTCCATGAATATTTTGTTTTATGGTGTACAACAGCCCAGGCAATAGGAAACATCTGTTGATTCCTATTTCTTCCCACAACCACCAGTAATTCGCCCTTGAAGCTTCCCTTTAGAAAACAACCATCTAAACCAATGATGTTCCTACGTCCTTCTAACCAACCTTTCTTGAGTCCATCAAAACAAGCATAGAAGTACTGAAATAGATTCTTACCAGGCTCTGGTTCTCTGTCAATTTTTACCCAACAAGAGCTGCCAGGATTGATTTCCTTAATACTACCAGCATAGTCACACAATCTGGTAAACTCCATCTTCTAATTCCCCATAAACTTTCTAAGAATAATTTGTTTGGCTCTATAAGCTATTGTCCTACCAACATACAATTCCAACCTCTTCTAACTAGTTGTTGAATTTTCCAGATTCTCGTGTAAGGAGCAGCAATTAGTTCTTTCTTGAATTTGTTGGCAATGTTTTTGAATTACACATCTTGCTGGTGTTCATTGGTTGACACTTATGAACAGGATAATACTTTTTATCATAAAGTCACCGGAATCTCTATCAACACTAGCATACAACTCCCATTTGTATTTTATTAATTTACACTTCACCCTTATCCTACCCTTCTCATTTGGTTTAAGCTTCAGTTAAACTTTATACTCTATTGCATAATTAGCCACTGCCTTCCTAAATTCTTCAACATTCTTAAATATCATGCCCAACTCAAAAAATGCCACTTTACAGTCTGTGTCATATCTAACCTTTATGCTCTTCCTTCTACTTGGAAGGTCAACACCAGGCTCAAAATCCACCTCTACCTCTTCATCAGAATCATCACTGCCAGTATCTGAGATGTCAATGAACTCCTCATCACCTCCTAATCTACCAACATATTTATCTTTTTTGTTCAATCCTATATCTTCAAAAACTCTATCAATTCCAGTTTCTCCTACAGGCACTCTAGCAGTTTCAGGTTGTATCTTCCTTCTGCTAGCATTCTTTTTAGTTCTCCTCTCATTTATGAGGGTCCTAGACTCTTCATCAACCTTACTATCATCCTCATCAGGAATTTCATCAAGATCTGATTCACTACTAGCTACCTACGAAGCAACCTCTTCCTCGCCTGCCCCTGCTCCACCAGTAACATTCTCTACACTAGCAAGATCCTCTCTTCATAACCAGAAGCATCTTCCTCACCAGCAACAACCCCTTCCCTACCAATACCAGTCTTAAACTCTTCAAGTGGAGGCTCTTCAATAGGTTGTGGTCCATTTATACTGTCTGGACCATCTTCTGTTGCCCTAGGTGGATTATTTATTGTGTTATTACTTTTTTCAACAATCTCCGGCCCACATAAATATCTAATTGGGACCACACTATTCAGAAATTATCTCAACAACATCTGAATGTACAAGTCTAATATACCCTCCTAACAGTAATAAGCAATATTATATAGTTGTTCATCATTTTCCACCAAGACAAATTCTTTGGTATTAGGGTTAAAGACATAAAACTCTCCAACAGTTGCATTACTCAACCCCCTTGTGTAATATTGAAGTTCAAACAGGGAAAAATAATCTTTGTCAATAGAGAACTGATTTATCTCTATATTTGTGACATATTTGGCACCTAAAGATTCGATAAATGGTCCACCATGGTGAAAGCGGACAAGAATATATTCAATGATATGATTTTACCCTAAAGTGAACAAGAAAAGCAACCGTGAGCACAGTCAGCAAGATTCGAAGAAAAGAAATGAAAAATCTATTTTTATATCTACAATTCTCAAAACACCATTACTAACAAAAAACCCTAATAAACAACTAAAATCTCAGTAAAAGAATAACTCGAAACATACCGGTAAAAATATTATAAAGGACAACACACTTGCTGAAGGCCACCCTGAATAATTGACTTCACAATTTCTTCAGATGAAAAATGCAGATGATAAACGAAGATGAGAGTGAAATTTGGACGAATTTTAGGTTGTTGGCTTCAATCTTTTATGAGAATAGCAGATGATTTTAGAATTTTCTCTAATGGAGCAATCGATTTTGGAAGGGGGAAGATGATGGACAGAGACAGGAATGAGGTTAGATTTTTTTTTTTACTGAGGGGCTGTAAAATTAAAATAGTTATTTGCGGTCGATTGTTTAATTTTTAACCCGATTTGTTTGACTTGGAATTACCTGATACACGTGGATCTTAAGTGGACAAATAATTCCACATGGACTACACTTATTCATCGGCTATTACACACGCTTGAATTATAAGACGAGTTGTGTTTTTTGTGTCTAAGTGACACAATAATAACCTAGTTGCAGTGTTCAAATGGAACAAACTCAAGATTAAGTGTCATAGTGAAAAGTGGGGACAAGTTAAGGAGCTACAGATATATTCCGCCAAAGAACCAGAAGGCTGACACCTCATCATGATCCATTATTATATTAAAGGATCCCCCAAGGGACATGATATCTTAATCTCACAGCTAAGCAAACTAAAATTATATATCAAAAATAATAATTTTAAACTTATAATTTAAAATGTGTAATGAGTACAGGGTTAGAATGTGAAGGTTGAACCAATCAAATGTAAATTGTAGACCCATATATGCCTATGTTCCATAGGATCACACACAAAGGTAGATCCACGATTTGGACTTTATGATTTCGGGTTTAAGATCTGACGATAGTTTAATTTATTTGATATACTGGGTTCATAATCTATTATTACTTGTTTAATATATTCTTTTAGCACATATATGCAGTTAGAGCCACAGCTATTAGGTCTGGATGAACCTTAAAGGCTAGACGCAATCCTGATCAGGCTACGTATAAATTAGCGTCTCTAATTGGTGAGAACTAAAACGAAGCTCCACGCCAAAACTTTCATAAGATATATTCATATTTGATGACCATTAGCGTTGTTTTGAGGTTTCAGTTGATAGTCTGCAAATTTAATGCGTGAAATTTGAAATTACAATATTGCTGAAGTTAAAAAGTAAAACGGTCTCAATTTAAAGTGTTAGTTAAAACCTTATATTTTCTATTTCATTGATTTAGGAAGAAAATCATTGGTCACTCTGTTTGTTGTATGTAAATTAAAACCACTCAATATTTAGTGATTAACCAAGTGAACCAACCAAAAATTACCTCAATATTTAATGTTCGATCACCCAAGTAAAACAAACTATAACTACCCAATGTATTCCTAAATCTCTACACTTGGAAATGAAATCATTGGTTAATATGTGTATTGTATTGCACAACCACTCAATATATTAATGAGCTAAGTGAAATAAGCTATAAATACTCATCCTCCAATATCATACTATTGTGTTTCATCTTGTCTTCCATTCTTCTCTTCAAGAAACCGCAAGGAGAACCTGTAAGATCTATATATGAACTACAAATCTTTGGTTTTGCTACGCTCTCAGGCATTTTGTGCAAGATGTTATATTTGTTTCATTTACATCTAATTTAAGAAGTTGAATATATATTTCTGGCCATATCATAAAACATTAGAATTGCTTGTTTTATCTTTTACACGTTTTCTTTTCTCGTCTTGTTTATTTTTTTCCATTTTAAACATCAAACTTCTTGATTTTTCATGGTTGAGAATGCAAAAATCTTATTTTCATTGTTTATGTTGGATTAGATCTTAGAAAATGAAAGAGGAAGCATAAGACAACCTTGTCGTATTTTCTTAGCGTTTAGATAGCTTGAAAGTTGTGAGCTTAGGCTTCTCAACTTTACCATGGAATCAGATCACGTGAAAGTTGTAAAATTTAAAAATAATAAGTAATTACTCTTCATTTCAAAAATTTCGTACAAAAGTTTTTACAATTAAGTTTAATTTTGTGATTCATTTTATAACACATTTCGTTTTGACTTCCAAAACAATCAAATGTCATCCAGACCATCCATACGAATTAAATTGATGTTATTGTTGTTCATCTAAACAAATTGCTACTCTGTTTGATTTCATTAATAGTTTTGTCAAAATTAGGTAGTCTGTGAAGGATGGGAGGCGGAAAAAATAAACATCTAGGTCAATATGGTTATCCAGGGCAATATCCTCCACAACCTGGAGCTTACCCTCCACAAGCATATCCTCCTCAAGCATATCCAGGAGTTAATCCTCCGCAAGTGTATCCACCTCCTCAAGGATATCCACCTGCCGGTTATCCCCCCGCCGCACCAGGATATCCTCCGGCTGGTGGCTATCCTCCACAAGGGTATCCGCCTGCCGGTGGATATCCTCCACAAGGGTATCCTCCTGCAGGTTACCCTCCACACCATGCAGGTACCAATCTTCACTAATTATAAACTCATACATTGTTATTATGGGAGACCATATATAGTTTAGTACATAGGTTTGTATTATTATACTAGTTCATTTATAATAATTTTTGGTTTGTACTAAGTTAGACGTAACATTTTAGGGCATGGAGGCATGGGATTAGTAGCTGGAACCATGGCTGCGGCGGCGGCTGCCTACGGTGCAGCACATGGTGCAGCAAGTCATGGACGGGGCGGCGGCTATTATGGTCATGGAAAATTCAAGCATGGCAAGTTTAAGGGTGGCAAGAAATTTGGCAAGAAATTCAAGAAGTGGAAATGAGCACTTCAGTTTCTGTGTATATCATCCTTATTTTGCAATTCACAGTAGATAAATTCTTGTGTACTGTTTTTTCCAATAATGAATAGTACAGGTCTTATAAATTATGGTCTATTGACTCATTTTTCCTTGAAATATTACGACGTTAAAGTGCTTCAAAATGAGTTTGAATAAGATGGCCCAAGTGGCCAATACACTTACTAAAGTAGTTACATTTGCAGCCAGGGAAAAATTAAAATTTAGACAAAGACAACATGATGTTATTCTTCCTATATCTTATGGTCTATGGAGTACTTCTTGAGTTTTTGTTTTCCTTCTTTTATATAAGCGCGCATCATGTGGAGGGACAACAACAACAACAACAACGATTGACTCAGTGAAATCCCACTAGTGGGGTCTGGGGAGGGTAGTGTGTACGCAGACCTTACTCCTACCCCGAAGGAGTAGAGAGACTGTTTCCGAAAGACCCTCGGCTCAATAACAAAGAGTTAATACCCTCAAACCCGCCTAGATTATACGATTTTTGTCAGTTTCATACCTAAACTATTGAGTGTCCCTGGAAACTCCCTGAACTATATCCCCCTTCGTAATTAAAACCCCCCGTTGCATTAGCCCTAGTGCGTATGATACACGCTCTAATTAAATTATAAAACATGCCATGTGGCATGCCACATGGATAATTAAACTAATTAATCATAAAATCGAGTTAATTAGGTAAAATAACTTTATTACGCTCAGACAGAAAATTAGGTTCTTTTTACTCGTTCCTTTAGTAAAGACTTCTCAGTCAAAATAGGTTCCTTTTACTCCCATCAGAGAAAACTCTCATCGGACCGTCAAAGTCACTTCTCCGATCATCTTCCTCCAATTTCTCTTCAAAATCAGTCGCTGCTACCATCAATTCCTCTTCAAAACTAGTCGTTGCTATTTCGAATTTGGAATAAAGGTGAAGTTTTGCTGGTGAATCAGAACAAAATTAGGGCTTAGGGTTTTGCTGGTGAAATATCTTCCTCTGATTCTTTGAAGAATCTGAAGATTATTAAAGAAGATTGCTTCAATACAGGTTTTATTCTTTTTTTCCCTATTAATTTTGTTGTGAAATTATGATATGTAGTGCTGCGATTTAGTTCGTAGTACCAAAATTTGGTTTTTTTTTGAGCTGTTACATCTTCCTGCTTGTCGATGTTTTTTTGTCGAATATATAGTTGCATGCATGCTGCTTGTTGTTAGTTTTGGATTTCGAGTCTTTTTATATTAGATTAATAAAATATTCTGTGTTTGGCCTTATTCTTTGCTGTTTTTTATTGTTATTTTAGGGTAATGACAGACAAATATTTGAATTTGAGATTTCATATTGGTGGTATGCTTGTGAGTGAGGTAGGGCCGGTTTATGTTGGGGGGGGGGGGGGGACATTGAATATGCCTTTAATGTGGATACGGACAAACTTTCTATTCCAGAAATTGTTGATTATGCCAAGGATTTTGGGTTTACCAATGTAGGAAAAATATATATTATATCTTCTAAGGGTGGCAGTTTGGTAGAATTGAAAAATGATCGGGATTTGTTGATACTTCCTGAGCTGTTAAGTAATACGGATACAATAGACATTTATGTCTGCCATAAGGGAGATAATGTGGTCCAGAATAGCCATGTGCCTAGTGGGGTCGTTGAAGAATCTTTCAGTAGGGTTGTTGAAAGTTTCAATGCACCTTTAGGTTCCCAAATTGAAAATATTAATTTGTAGTGGTCAAATAGAACTCCCTGAACAGTCACATGTTGTAGAAAAACTTCCTACAAACTCCTTAGTTGATGAAGATGATTCTGACATAGGAGATGAAGACTTAGAGGAAGATGACATAGGTAATGTTGCAGATAGTGATAAATCTAGCAGTTCTGATGATGAAGAGCATGAGGTTGATTATGGTAGTGATGTGCATGAAGAGTTGAACATAGTTAAAACAGATTTGAAGGCTTATAAAAAGAAAAAAAAAGAGCACCAAGAAAGAAAGTAGTTGCTGAGTGTTTTCTTGGACCTGTTGGGATAGATCCAGGTTTTGAAGACATAGATAAAGGGAAGAAAAAATATTTCTGGTAAGTTAGTTGGTGATGAGCCTTTTTATGACAGTTCAGATGCTGATAGTTTTGTGAGTGACAGTGACAATGAGAGTGGTAGTGAATCAGGAAACATAAGTGGTAACATGAAAGCAAGAAAGGAGAACAAGAGGGTAATGTATGATCCAAAATGGGAAAAGGTGGTTTGGCAACTTAACATGGTCTTTGAAAATGTATATAAGTTTAGGGAAGTTGTCACCAGGTATGCAATAGAAAGAGGTTGCGAGCTGGAGAAGATTACAAATGATAAAAACAGAGTTAGGGTGAAATGCAAAACTAGTGGATGCCCTTGGTTGTTGTTTGCAAGCAGAGAGCCCAAATCTGTTGATTTCATTATCAAAACTTATAATCCTAGGCATAACTGCAACAAGACCAACACCAATTCAATGTGCAATACCAAGTATCTTGCAAAGTACTATAGAAGTAGGATAATTTCACAGTCTTGCATAAAGGGTTGGGAGATGCAAGATTTGGCAAGGGAGGATTTGGGTTTATATGTTGGGAAAAAAAATTTGTTTGAAGGCTAGGAAACAAGTATTGAAAGAAGTGATGGGTGATCATGTGAAGGAGTTTGGCAGGATTTATGATTATAGAGATGTGCTCCTTCAATCAAATCCAGGGAGTACATGTGTGGTAAAAGTGACAGATTCTGAAGATGGGAAAAAATTATTTCACTCCCTCTACATTTGCTTTGCAGCAATGAAAAAGGGATTTATTGAAGGGTGTAGAAAATGTATTGGGTTAGATGGTTGTTTCTTGAAGAGAATATCTAAGGGGCAACTACTTGTTGCTATTGCAAAGGATGGGAACAACCAAATGTTTCCAATAGCATGGGCTGTAGTTGGGACAGAAAGTAAAGACATATGGTGTTGGTTTATAAGGATATTGAAGTCTGATTTGGAGATCAATGATGAAGGAGCAGAATTGACAATCATTAGTGATATGCAAAAGGTACTATCTTATTTAAGCTAACAATATCCTTTTTAGACTAACGATGTCTTTTTTGCAAGGTTTATATTCAGCAATTCAAGAATATCTTCCTGAATGTCAGCATAGAATGTGTGCAAGACATATTCTAGCTAACTGGCAGCAGAAATGGAAGGGTATTGAGAGAAGAAATGGGTTTTGGAGCTGTGCAAGATCAACTTATGAAGCGGAACTTAAAGCAAACTTGGACAAGCTAAGTAAGTTAGGTCACAAGATTTGTGAAGACCTGGTAAACTACAATCCTGAGAAATGGAGCAAAGCAATATTTAGAACTTCTTCCAAGTGTGACAGTGTGGATAATAACATGGTTGAAAGCTTCAATGCTTGGTTTTGGGTCCTAGGCACAAGACAATTATTAGCATGCTTGAAGAAATTAGGATAAAGGTAATGAATAGGTTCACTAGAGTGAGGGCATTTGCAGATACTTGGAATGAAGGCATATCACCAATGGCAACGATGGTGTTGGTTACAAATGTGGAGGTCTATGAGGTGCACAATACCTAGAATGGTGATTTTGGGTATGAAGTTAAGAGGGCTACTGTCGCGCCCCCTTTTTTCCCTCCTCGCGGGGAAAAGTCCGGGTTTCGACATTCACAGGGTGTAATGACTCATTTCCTTTTGGGAATTGGGTATTTGAAGAGTCGCCACCTAACGGATTATGGTGCGTTAGGGCACCTAGAGCGATTAACTCTTGGGTTGGTTTTCATTACCAGAGATTAGGGTAAGGGCTCGAAGTAACCTCGAGGGGAAGGTGTTAGGCACCCCTCTTGGTCCACAACTGTGGGTCCCGACCGAACTTGTATTCACAAATCAGTCCATTACAAGTAAGCAATTGAATCAAATAGATTGCAAGTAAAGCACGTTAGAGCAACTCGAGTAGCAAAATAAAGTTTTGGACAAGTTGTAAACAAAGTTTTAAAGAAAGGATTTGGTAAAGAGGGGGTCCTAGGTTGGTTATCCTATAGGATCACATCAGTACAATGCCCGGTAATCACTCCTTGGAAAGGGGCTACGCGTGGCATTAGCACCCCGGTCATCATATCTATATCTACCCTCCCTGTACCCTTATTAGTCATGCAAAGCCAGCGTTTGGTCAACGATTCCTATTGCGTGCTGCTACCCGTCCCTTCTTAATAGTCCTAGAGAGAGTTAGGACCTCAGCCTATAGGTGGTTCTAGACGTACCCCTAAGATTTTAAAAGGCAAAAATTCTAAGGCAGCAGTCAAAAAGCATATTGGACTTTCACACATAATAGAAGCAATTTAAAAGGCTCAGTGTTTCCTCCTCAATCAAACACATAAGCAGCACGACTCAAGCACATTTAAGGTCTTTTATTAGACAACGTCCTAAAGCAGGATATCTAAGTGAATATGCAGAAAAAACAAAACCCCGTTTTAGGTTCAGAAATTGTACCCTAGTAGTTGCCTAAGGACTCCTTTTAAAGCCTTTTAGGATCAGAAAACATTAAGTGATAGAGACTATTTCAAAAAAATGTAATTTTAAAGAAAAACACCCTAGAGGCTTGCCTATACGCATGATACTAACATCTGTATTAATGCAAAAACAAACAAATTTATGAAATAGGCTCCTTTAATACCTATAGGCATGAGATCTAACTAGATGAGGCAGTTTGAAAGAACTTGTGTCAGAACTTGCTTAATACTTAGTAAGACCAATTCAGGAATGAACTAGGCGTGATTAAAGAAGCTTATTAGATTAATAGACGGAATTGTGAGTGGGACTCCCTATAGGCATGATATCTAGGCGTATTACTGATTGTTAACAATTGTAGGTACAGAAACATACATAAATACTCGTTGTAACTGAAATTGGATCAGGTCCTATAGGCATGGCGTCTATTATTAAACTGATTTAAGACATGACTTCTTGGAACCTATAGGCATGGTTTCTAAAACATGACAGAATGTAAAGCCTTATAGACATGGTTTCTACTTGACGAGCAAACAAAAGTGAAATCCTATAGACATGATTTCTATTAGGCAAAGCAATCAGATTCAAAGAGTAAACTACTAAGAGCATGCTTTCTATTTAGAACAAACAGACTTGAAAAAGTAAAGTCCTAAGAGCAGGATTTCTACCAGTAT